TCCTTCCGCCTCAACCTTCCAAGTAGCTGGAACTACAGGCATGCACTACCATGCCTGGCTGATTTTTTGATTTATTGTAGAGATGAGGTCTCGCTGCCCAGGCGGGTCTCGAACCCACGGGCTCAGGCAATCCACTCACCTCAGCCTCCCAAAGGCGAGGGATTACAGGCTGAGCCACCGAGTCCGGCCCCTTCTCTTTTTTTAACAGTTTTATTGAGATGTGATTTTACATGTAATATATTTAAACTGTACAAATCAGTGGATTTTAGTATATCTGCAGAGTTGTGTGACTATCACAACCTAACGTTTCCAGAAAGAATCCTTCTATTCTCTGCTTGTCGTCCCCCAGATTCCCCGCCCTAGGCTAGCACTGACCCACCTTCTGTCTCTCTAGATCTGCCTAAACTAGACATTTCACATCCATGAAATCCTACGACATGTGAGCTTCTGGGACTGGCTTCTTTCATTCACAATGTTTTTGTGGCTTATCTGTGTTGTAGCATGTATTGGTACTTCATTTCTTTTTATTGCCAAATAAAGTTCCCTGGTATGGAGCATCTTATTTATTCATTTCTAATTGTTGAAGACTTAGGTTGCTTCCACTTTTTGGCTGTTACATATAATGCCACCATAATATCTGTGTAAAAGGTTTTTTTGTGGGCATATATATATTTTTTTCTCTTGGACATATATCTAAGATTTAAATTGCTGGGCTGAATAGTAACTTTATGTTGAACTGTTTGAGGAACTGCCAAACTGTTTTCCAAAGTAGCTGTAGCACTTTACGTTCCCACCCACAGTGCATGAGAGTATCAATTTTTTTGTTTGAATTGGAATCTCACTCTGTTGCCCAGACTAGAGGGCAGTGGCATGCTCATGACTACTGTAGTCTTGACCTGCTAGACTCAGGTGATCCTTCTGCCTCAGCCTTCCAAGTAGCTGGAACTGCAGGTGCAAGTCACCACACCTAGCTAATTTTTAAATTACTTTTATTTTTACTTTTTTGAGTTGGTGTCTCATTCCGTTTCCCAGGCTGGAGTGCAGTGGCATGCCCACGGCCACCCCAGTGGCAACCTGCTGGGCTCCAGCGATCCTTACGCCTCAGCCTTCCAAGTAGCTGGAACTACAGGCACACGCTACCATGCCTGGCTAATTTTTTGATTTATTGTAGATATGAGTTCTTACCATGTTGCCCAGGCTGGTCTCGAACCCGTGGGCTCAGACAATCCTCTTGCCTTTTCTCCTAAAGTGCTGGGATTACAGGCTTGAGCCACTGCCCTGGCCTAATTTTTTAATTTTTTGTAGAGATGAGGTCTCGCCAAGTTGCCCAGGCTGATCTCGAATCTTGGACCCCTAGGTTCAGGCAGTCCTCTCTCTTTTGACTCCAAAAGTGCTGGGATTATAGGCGTGAGCCATTGCACTTGGCAAGAGTTCCAGTTTCCTGCAGTCTCACCAACACTTGTTATTGTCAGTCTTTTTGATTGGTGCCATCCTAGTAGGTTGAAGTGGTATTTCATTGTGGTTTTGACTTACGTTTCCCTAGTGACTAATGATGCTGAGCACCTTGTCATGTGCTCATTGGCCATTTGTGTATGTCCATTGTAGAAATGCCTACCAGATCCTTTGCTCAAATTTTAATTGGGTCATTTATCTTTTTATTGTTGAGTTTTAAGAATTCTTTATAAGCTGAGCTCGGTGGCTCAGCCTGTAATCCTGTTCCTTTGGGAGGCTGAGGTGAGTGGATTGCCTGAGCCCACGGGTTCGAGACCCGCCTGGGCAACTTGGTGAGACCTCATCTCTACAATAAATCAAAAATTAGCCAGGCGTGGTAGCGCGTGCCTGTAGTTCCAGCTACTTGGAAGACTGAGGCGGAAGGATCGCCGGAGCCCAGCAGGTCAAGGCTGCGGTGGCCGGGAGCGGCCACTGCACTCCAGTCTGGGCGACAGAGTGAGACTCCAACTCAAAAAAAAAAAAAGAATTCTTTATATATATTCTGGATACTAGTTCTTTTCAGGTACATGATTTTTAAATATCTTCTACCATACTATGTGTTATCCTTTCACTGTCTTGATGGGGTCGTTTGAAGCACAGTGTTTAATTTTGATGAGCGCCAGTTGTTCTTTCTTCTGTCAACATTTTCGTTCTTTATCTAAGAAATCATTGCCTAGCCCAAGTTCGTGAAGATATTTACTCCAATGTTTTATGCTAGAAGTTTTTAGTTTTAGCTCTTGCATCATGTAAGTCTATGATTTATTTTGAGTTAATTTTTGTGTGTCATGTGAAGCAGAGGTCCAAATTCATTCTTTTTTCTTTTTTTTTTTTTTTTTGAGTCAAGGTCTCCCTCTTTTGCCCTGGCTGGAGTACAGTGGCATGATCATGGCTCACCACAGTGTCCTTGGCCTCCTGGGCTCAGGCGATCCTTCCATCTCAGCCTCCCCAGTAGTTGGGACTACAGGTGCATACCACCACACCTGGCTGAGGCTATTTTTTTGTAGAGATAAGGTTTCACTGTGTTGTCTAGGCTGGTCTTGAACTCCTGGGCTCAAGCAGTCCTTCCACTTTGGCCTTCCAGAGTGCTGGTATCACAGGCGTGAGTCGTTGCTCCCACCTGAATTACTATGAAGTTTTTCATAATAAAAGTTTGTTGAAAGAGCCTTTGTTTCCTTGTGTTTTGAAAATAATGTGTTAAAAACCCTCTGACGCTTTTATGTTCAAGTATACTCTCTTACCATGGGATAGTTTGCTGATGTGTAGATGGTGGGATCTGGGTGGAAACTTGTCTTCGAACGTGTTTTATTCTAAAAACATAAAAAATCTTTACTGAGCAATCCCCTTGGATCCCCTGCCACTCTGGGAACTTTTCTGTTCTCTCAATAAATCCTGCTTCCAAAAAAAAATCTTTACTAATAGGATTATTTCCTTAGCTTGGTTATGAAAAGGGAATTAAAATAAGCTATTTGTTGGGAAGAGTCATTAGTTTACGTTTTGACTGTAGAACTTTTGTTTATGACAACTTGCCTATCACCAGTTCCTTGGAAAAGTGACTTACTGTTATGAAATAAATCAAGAAATTCCAAGAATGGGTCCTGTGACCTTTGACTTGAGGCCCATGTTTGAAAGCCATTTATTTTCCTTGTTTTCAATATCTTATCAATAGGGTTGGCAGATCATTTCTTTTCTTTTCTTTCTTTTTTTTTTTAGTCAGGGTCTCATTCTGTCACCCATGCTGGTGGTGCAATCACAGCTCATGGCAGCCTTGACCACCTAGGCTCACATGATTCTCCTGCCTCAGCCTCCTAAGTAGCTGGGTTACAGGTAGGACCCACCATACCCAGCTGATTGTTTTAATTTTTTTGTAGAGACAAGGTCTCATTATGTTGCCCAGGTTGGTCTCAATCTCCCAGGCTCAAGCAATCCTCCTGCCTTGGCCTCCTAGAGTGCTTGGATCACAGACTTAAGCCACTGCATCTGGTTGCAGGTCATTTCTGATTGACAGTCACATATGCCTCTTAATGAATCATGCAGTCAGCTATTCTAGAGGGTGACTGCCCCAAAGTTAATTTCATGTACTATTGTGAGACCTTTTTAAACTACCCTCCCCCCCAAACTTGAGAGAGATCTGTCCAGCAGTTTGGTAGCAGATAGAAATAAACCTTACTGATCTGGATGGATTAGGGTTTTCCTCACCTGTGGTTAACAGATTAAGTCATTATTTTTGCTATTTTAGTTAAAAACGAAACACAAGTTAATTATAGCATTCAATTTACTTTTGTATAATTTGAAGTTTTTCATAATAAAAGTTTTAAAGCAGTACACAGTGCATAGGTGACTGTCTTGAATAGGACCCTGAAAGCTGTCTGTGTGTTTGTGGTTGACTTTGAAGTTGATCTCTCTGGCTCATCTTCCAGATTCCACTGACCTCTGTTCGCCTTTTCTCTTCAGGTAACGTACGCGGCCAGGGACGCCCAGATTTCAGTGGCTCTCTTTCTTCATCTTCTTGGATACCCTTTCTCTAGGAATTCACCCATCGCAAAAAACGGTGACCACAGTGGCTGGAGAAAAGCCTTGGAGAAATGTCAGGATGTGGTTGACAAACCCTTTCGAAGCAAAGGAATTAGTGGCTTGGGAGAAGAGGTTCAAGGGGAGGCAGCCGAGTCTCAGCAGAAGACCAGAAGTAAGAAGTCTAAGGCCGATGGAGGGGCATCCAGCAACCACCAGGGGAGAGACCCCCGGAAGCACAGACGGAAGCCCCTGGGGGTGGGCTACTCTGCCAGGTAACGGAGCTGCTCCGTCCTCAAAGCCTTAGCAGAGGGCGAGATATTCCCCACTCTGGAATGTGTGGCCAGGGGTAGAGGCTCCAAGCTCATTGCCCTCTCCTTTCCCTCGGAGACGTTTGGATCAGCCTTTGCTTTATTTGTGTGCGTTTCAGCTTATCCTCTTCTTTTACTTTCTCATTTTATTCTTATATATTTTAATTTGAGTTGGAGTCTCATTCTGTTGCCCAGGCTGGAGTACAGTGGCACGATCACAGCTCATGGCAGCCTCGACCTCCTGGGCTCAGGCACCATCGTGGTTACTGCAGACTTGATCACAATTTCCGCAGCCTTGATCATGGTTACCACAGTCTAATCCTACTGGGCTCTGGCGAGCCTTCCACCTTAGCCTTCCAAGTAATTGGAACTACAGGCACATGCCACCGTACCCTATGGATTTTTTGATTTATTGTAGAGACTAGGTCTCACCAAGTTGCCGAGGCTGATCTCGAACCCTTGAGTTCAGGCAGTCCTCTCTCCTTGGCCTCCCAAAGTGCTGGAATTATAGGCATGAGCCATGGCACCTGGTTTACTTTTTTATTTTTTGACAGAGTGGAAATGAGGAGAGCATGGCTTAACTTTGCCTCTGACCCTGCTGTGGTGTTAGGCCTGAAACTACTCCAGCTGTGAGTGGATGTGTAGCTAGCATTCTTTGCTTGCTAAGGATAGCCATGGATGAGTAGCACGAGGGGTTTCTTGCTTATCAGGAGAAACATGTCCTCTGGGCTCTGTTCATGTGGTATTTGGTCATTTAGAGTGAGAGCCACTCTAAGGAAGTGTTAGTGTCCAACCAGTGAAAGTGTCCTGTACAACTCATATCTTGACATAGGAAGATGACTAGTCAACTCTTAGATGTTTGGCCCAGTATAAAGTGCCTTAGGACCAGGAGGAGTCCATTGAAGGGAGTATTCCACGTGAGCCAGAGATAAATCCCTGTGACCCTCATACTATGGATTGAGCTTCTAGATTTTAGCTTACTTTGTTTAACGTAGTGATTGGTGGCTGTCTTACTCTGCTCCTGCTGCGTTCACAGCGGAGCTATGCTAACACCTCCCAGCTTGCCCCTCACATCCCATCTGCAAGTGTGAAGACAGAGGCGTGAACAAGTTCATTCTTAGTTGTGTCTCCTGGCCCAGCGCAGGCTGAGGGTGAAACATGGTTTCCTCCTTTTTTGTTTCCCCATGGTCGGTCTGTCTGACCCTGGTGTTGAGAATAGTTGAACCCCTCAGAGGAGAGTGGGATGGCAGCGACACCTCGACCTGTACAAACTTTCCAGCTGAGCTTGCCCTGTCTCTTCCCTGTAGGAAGTCACCACTTTATGATAACTGCTTCCTCCACGCCCCTGATGGACAGCCCCTCTGCACTTGTGATCGCAGGAAAGCTCAGTGGTACCTGGACAAAGGCATTGGAGGTGTGAGGTTCAACTATTGTGGTATATCTGCAATTAGGTGCATGTAGGAACTGGCCAGGGTGGGGCGAGGAAGGGGGAGGGACAGAGGAGGCAGGAAGACTGTGAGCCACGTGGTATTGGGCAGTCACAGTCAGAAACAGTGTCCTCTGCCAGGATACATCAGAGAGCAGTGATGGTGTTGCAGATTTCCTGAGGTGGGGGTGGGACAAGGAGAGCAGCCAGCTGCTAACACTTCTTCCTCTCCCCAAGAGCTGGTGAGCGAAGAGCCGTTTGTGGTGAAGCTGCAGTTTGAACCTGCGGGAAGGCCAGATTCACCAGGAGACTATTATCTGATGGTTAAAGAGAACCTGTGCGTTGTATGTGGCAAGAGGGACTCCTACATCCGGTGAGTGTGTGGGGGGGCTGCCCTCTTTGGCCTCTGGTGGAACTGCCGTTGGAGGCAGAGAGAGCCTCAGAGGCCAGGCAGCTGGTGGTCTGCTTTAGCTGAGCCTTGTCTGACGGGGCTTCCCCAAGGGCTTGACACCGCCTGGCCTTGCTGTTGTGGCCTTACGCCTCCTGAGCCGTGACTTTTCTCACTAGCAGTCTGCAAAAACCATCTAGGGTTCAGTGGGTCAGGGAAAAAACTGCAGTCTGCAAGAGTGGGTCCCTTCCGAGGACAGTTCCTCAGCCACAGTGACCTTCCTGCAGTGGCACACAGGCTTTCTGAGCCTCTGTGTTTCCAAGAGTATCGGGTGGCCCGATACTGCCCTGTGCTGTGATACTGATTCCTGTCAGACCTTCCTTGAGGGGCTGCTTGGCCTGAGCACCCAGACCTGGCCTTCCCCCGGCCTCTGTGGAGTCATTTACACTCCTTCTTTCTTCCCCTGCAAGTGAAACAACTTTTGTTGCTGCCAAAGATTTTTCCTGAGAGCTTCATTCTCCTTGGAAAATCACAGAGGGCCCTGGAGAGCCAGGGAAGTGGTGTCACAGGAGAGGGTTCCTCCCATGAAGGAAGTCAGTCTTTTCAGGGTACCAGGCTTTTCTGAGAGTTGTTTCTAGATGTCAAAGGCCATTCGAATGCCTTTTCATTTCTCTGAGACTTTTCCTTTGGGAACATGGCCTTCTCAAAGGTTGTAATTAACCTGGCTTTCATTGAGGCCTAGCAGCAGGTGGTCTGTACTCACTTCAGGGTGAGGGAAGCCTAAAGCACAGGTGGGAACTCCAGGGTGCAGGTGGGAACCCCAGGCACAGATGGGGACCCAGGGCACAGGTGGGGAGCCTTAGTTCATGGGTGGGAGCCCTGAGCATGGGTGGGGGGCCCCAGGCACAGGCGGGAGCTCCAGGGCACATGTGGGAGCCTAAGGCATAGGCTCGAAGCTAAGGCACAGGTGGGGCTGATAGACAGTATTGCCTTTATGTCGTCTGTGTTGGATGGTGGTGCCCAAGCCTTCTCTGTCACGTTTGAGCCTGAGTGAGCATCGCAGTAGCCCGTCTGCTGCTCCGTGGGTGCTGTGCCCTAAGCAAATGAGCCCTGCTTTCTGGGTGGACATGTTTTAGGAAGAATGTGATTCCACATGAGTACCGGAAGCATTTTCCTGTCGAGATGAAGGACCACAACTCCCACGACGTGCTGCTGCTCTGCACCTCCTGCCATGCCATCTCCAACTACTATGACAACCACCTGAAGCAGCAGCTGTCCCGGGAGTTCCAGGCACCCATCGGCTCTGAGGAGGGCTTGCGCCTGCTGGACGACCCTGAGCGCCGTCAGGTGCGCTCTGGGGCCCGGGCCCTGCTCAACGCGGAGAGCCTGCCTGCTCCCCGCAAGGAGGAGCTGCTTGGGGCACTCAGAGAGTTTTATGGCACAGACACGGTCACAGCTGAGATGCTCCAAGAGGCCGCCAGCCTGGAGACCAGGTACAGTTTGCAGTTTTGGTTGGAGAAGGGACTGGAGAGTGGCCCAGGGACACCAGCCCTCACTAGCGTATGAGGATGCTTGCCAGGGTGGGGCATGTGTGGACTTGGGTGCAGTGTCCAGCCTCGTGCTTGCCTGTTAGGGGTTTGATGGTCTAGGATACCCTGGGGGTGAGGGAGAGAGTGTCCTCTCCATAGGAAGCTTGCCTTGTGAGGTGTCTGCCCTTGACCCTCCAAGGTCAACTGTGTAGCTCTCGTCAGCTTCGTGACTAGCGTGAGTGTGCAGGGGCCACAGAGTTGGCCATATCATCCTGGGCAGGGGACGTGAATCCTAAAGTCAGCATGTGAGATGGGCTAAGAACCTGGCAACACTCTCAGATCTCTGGTGTTTCCCATGAAGTGCAGTGCAGTCGTCCTTCAGTGTTGGTGGGGACTTGGCTCCCAGACCTTCCTTGGATACCGGAATCCACTGATGCTCAAGTCCCTGGAATGAGATGGTATGGTGTTTGCATATACCCTGTGTACACCTTCCTCCATACTTTCAGTCAGCTCTAGGTTACTTCTACCTCATACAATTCAAATGTCACATAAGTGGTTGTTATGCTCTGTGGTTTATGGAATAATGACAAGGAAAAAAGTCTACGTGTTCAGTACAGATGCTTTTTTTTTCTGGCTATTTTTGATGCAGAGTTGGTTGAATCCACAGATGCAGAACCGTGAGTACAGAAGGCTGGCTGTGTGTGCAGTTTGCACCTCTGATTTGACATAGGTCTGTGAACACTGCGACCACAGGACATATGGCCCCATCTCACCTGGCCTCTGGGGTATTGGCCCACCAGATGGGATGCTAGCAACATTATTGTTACTATTTGAATCGTTTTCTCTTTTTTCCTTCCTTCCTTGCTTTCTCCCTCCTTCCCAGTGAGTACTTGGTTGAATTCACTTGCCATGACTCAGTGTTGCAATATGAGAAGACTATAAGCTCTTAGGTCCTGAGGAATGAATGGGTGTGAGGCTCGGGCGATGATAACTGTAGGCAACAGTGCATTGCTTCCCAAATGTCTCTTTTTTCAATAGTAATAGGGGCTGTAATAATTGAACTGATAAGTTCAAAACCCTGATAGTGATGTTGATTGCCATAGGGTTTTTGTTACCAGTAAAAAACAAAAAATAAAAACTTTGATGAAAGGAACAATTTAAAAAAAGTCATGCTACTGTCCCATCACAAATACTGCAAATATTTTTATTTAATTTAATTAATTAATTTATTTATTTTGAGTTGGAGTCTCACTCTGTCACCCAGACTGGAGTGCAGTGGCCACTCCCGGCCACTGCAGCCTCGACCTGCTGGGCTCCGGCAATCCTTCCGCCTCAGCCTTCCAAGTAGCCGAAATTACAGGCATGTGCTACCACGCCTGGCTGATTTTTTGATTTATTGTAGAGATGAGGTCTTGCTGCCCAGGCAGGTCTCGAACCCACGGGCTCAGGCAATCCACTCACCTTAGCCTCCCAAAGGAGCGGGATTACAGGCTGAGCCACCGAGCCCAGCTTACTGCAAATATTTTTATACTGCATCTTGCAGTGTCAAACCAATGAACTTCACATGAATTACCTTAATTATTTCTTATGACTACCTGAAGAGGTAGAATTTAGGTTTCATACTGATTAACTGTTAATATTATGTCTCGCATTTAAAAATATCTTTCAACATTTAAAAAATTTATGATTGACTTTTAACCTCATAACTATTCTGTGAGGTTCTAGAATAGATATTATTTTCCAAGTGTTTGATTAGTTATCCTGAGGTTAAAATTAAGTAACTTGCCAAGGTTATATTACAGATTAGTGAGATGCTCCTTTAACCAGTTCCCAAGTATGTTTTCTGAGGCAGCTGAACCTCCCCTGACAGTCACAAGCCTTTCTCATGCATCCATCTTGCTGAATTGGGTGAATGGATGCAGGACAGCTGCTTGGAGACCCATAGGCAAGTGGGTGGGCAGCTCAGGAGCCAGGTAATAAGATATCCCCAGGTACCCCGAGAGCAGTGACACTGTCAGACTGACAGGGCCAGGAGGAGGATTAGAAGTGGGAGCAGAGGAGTCTGTGGGCAGGGCACTTCCTTGAGGAAGGTTGCCTTTGTTCATAGAAGGTGTCAGCTCTGTTCACATGGCATCAGAGTGTTTCCGAGGCCTCCCTGTGTGGTTAGGAAGGAGGCAGGGGTCTGTCTTCTCATTCAGCGGCACCTCCCAGCCACATTTCATGGTGCCTGAAACCCATGAAACGTGGTTCCTCATGTGAAATACTCAGGTATTAAACTGTGATATGGAGGCAGAACTTGTGGGTGATTTAACAGCCTCATGGAAATACGGAGTATGCTTCAGAATGAGTAACATAAAAGAGGGGTGAGCTGGGTACTGGTAATCTTGGGAGAACTATGAGACCAGCATGCCTCCCCCATTGTCAGCTAGATGGGAGGGCCCTTGATGGGGGCTGAGCCTGGTCCCGTGGCTGCCCCTAAGCCCTGCTCAGAGCCGCAAGGCCTTCTGTCACATTGTAAGCCTGTGCTCGTTCTCAGAGGTGAGAAACCAGGTGTTTTGAACACATTAAAGTAATCGACCCAATAGGAGTCTTAGAACCTCCCAGAACTCCTGCTGAGTTGGGGCCTGCAGTGCCACCTCCTGCACTTGCCTCCTTCAGACCCTTTCCTTCCTGTCTTGGCAGGATTTCCAATGAGAACTACGTTCCCCACGGCCTGAAGGTGGTGCAGTGCCATGCCCGCGGCGGGCTGCGCTCCCTCATGCGCCTGGAGAGCCGCTGGCGCCAGCACTTCCTGGACTCCATGCAGCCCAGGCACCTGCCCCAGCAGTGGTCGGTGGACCATAACCACCAGAAGCTGCTCCGGAAGTTTGGAGAGGACTGTCCCATCCAGCTGTCATGACATCCCAGCTGGGGCAGGGAGACTGGACCCAGGCCGACGTGGCACCTCTTCCTGTTGCCTGCATCACTAGTTGTCCGGACCAGGTGACACCACCTGGAGCATTGCCCTGCACTGATTCCCGGGTGCTGCTGGTGGAGCAGGGTTGCTGTTTTAAGGGCATGTGTGATTTGGGATTTTAACTGGGTAGGGTCTTTTTTTCTTCCTCTCTTATTTTGTCTTTGTGGACAAAAGAGGTCCTGGCCTTTATTTTTACTCCCTTTCTTCTATTTTCCCTGGGCAGAGGAAGAATGAAGAATTTTCCCTGAACTGACTGGTCAATACTTCCTGAAAAGGTTTTTAATGCATCTCTTCCCTGTCATTCCATAGGTTCGTGTCTGGGAGAAGGAGTCCAGTGGATTAGGAGAGATTAGGAGGAGAGAAAGACTTCTTGGGGCTGGAGAAGTGAGCGAGGGCTCAGATTCATTTCCTCGAATGGCCGTTTTCTGGCCTAGTGTGCCCTGTAACTCACCGGCTGGAGCCATGCAGTCTGCCAGCCTCAGCTGATTTTAGTCTTGAAAATGCTCCTGCCTTTGCTCATCCAGGGCCGAATGGGGAAGTCCTGCCTGTGCCGCCACCCTGACCTGGGGTAGCCTTCTCTGGAAACAGGCCTTGGAGCTGGGTGGGGCGGAGGAGCACAAACCTCACCTCCCATAGGTCGTGGAGGCCTGGCCTGGTTCCCCGCAGTGCTGTTTGCTGTTGGCTCCTTCCTCTCCTGCCCCAGGTTTCTAGCTTAGTCCTCTCTGAGGGAAAGACGACCTTTGCTCAGAATCACTGTCAGCTCCCCTGTGTGCTGTGCTTATCAGGTGTGCAGTGCTGGTCCCACCTAAGCACTTAGTTGGCTGCCAGGGTCACCTGGTCAGGTTGTGTCATGAAGGCTTCTCCATCTCCTCTGAAGCCTGGACCCCAAGATTAACCAGACACACCCAGTGTTCAAGAGGGGATACAACTTCATTTTTGAGAAGGCCAGGCTGCCACTTTGAGTGTGAGACCAACTTGCTTATGATAAGTTTTTTTCTAAAGTATTAGGAAAACTTTATTTTACAAGATTTTAACAAGCTTACAAAAGAATTTTATGAGCAGAATCCAACAAGAGCTCTATTTTAGAATTGTGCCCAGCTAGCAATGGTTGCTCTAACATTGATAAATAAAACTTCTAAGCACAAGGCTCACTGATTGGAAATGTGGAACCTTTCTCCATGACTATAAAATCGAGGAGTATTCCAGGGGGAGGGGATGTCTACCCTAAGGTCCCTGCTGTGGCAGTGCCATGGTGTGTGTATACGGTGTAGAACACACGGCCACTGCAGCTATCATGGTGACCTGCAAGCTGGTGAGCTCATCCTGTGTTTCACCTTGTTGCCCTCTCATTCCCATTTGTCTTCAAGCAGGCAACTCTGGAATTTCATCTGGAAATCCTTGTAAGCAAATAGAACCAGCCACTTTGGGGCATGTGTGTTCACTGTGGTAGGCTATGGTGGGGTCTGGCCCCTGGCTGTGTTCTTTGGACACCATGGGAATGGATGGGGCATCTGAGACTTGGTCGTGGCAATTGTCAGTCTTGCCACAAGGTGGCACTCGGAGATTAGTTCTTTATATCCTCTTGAGAAGTAAGTGCCCACGTAAGCGCCCACGGTTACTGAATATAACTCATGATTTACGTTTTAAAATTTGCATAGCTGATTTCAGTCATTTTGATAGCTTGACAAGACAACCTTTCCCTTTGAAATGAAGGTAGGGCTGCTGCTTTCTTGCTCCCTCTGATCCATGTGCTAGGAGGTAAGAAACATGAGGTCATTGGTGGTGCCATGGTGGCCATGGGGAGAGGACCGTGTTTCCAGCAGACCTTCCTGCAAGGCCCAGTGAAATAGAGCCAGCAGCAGGGTGGGGGAAGTGCTGGGCCATGTCCATCAGATTTCTCACCCTTTCAGAAGATCGGTAGATCAGAAAATGGGTAGATCAGAATCTTTATTCTCTGAGTCTACCCTGAACTTTAGCAGCCAGTTGGAGTCTCACTCTGTCGCCCAGACTGGAGTGCAGTGGCATGCTCCTCGTCGCAGCTTCGACCTGCTGGGCTCCGGCGATCTTTCCGCCTCAGCCTTCCAAGTAGCCAGAACTACAGGTGCATGCTACCACGCCTGGCTAATTTTTGATTTATTGTAGAGACTAGTTCTTGCCAGGTTGCCTGGGTGGGTCTCGAACCTGCGGGCTCAGGCAATCCACTTGCCTCTGCCTCCCAAAGTGCTGGGATTATGGACTGAGCCACTGAGTTGCCATCTTAAGTGAGAAGCTTTAGGGGAGGCATATTTTAAAATGAATACTTATTTTTTTCTGATATAAAAGTAGCATGTGTTCATTAGAGAAGAGTCTGAAGAAAGAATACAAATCATCCATCTTCCTTCCATCTGGGACAGAGCTACCTTTGCTATTATATTTATGAGTTTCCTTTCAGTATTTAAAAATGCCTGTGATATGTGCAATATTTATTTAAACAAAACTGAGGGCCATATGTCTATACAGGTTGATGTCCCGATTTTTCCCCTCATTTAATGTGGTGTCACAGGTCATTTCCTGTGTCTTTAAGTCTTTGAAAATGGATTTCTCCTTTTTTTTGAGTCAATATCTCACTCTGTCACCCAAGCTGGAGTGCAGTGGCACAGTCACGGCTCACTGCAGCCTCAAAATCCTGGGCTCAAACAATCCTCCCTCTTTGGCCTCCCATGTAGCTGGGACTACAGGCACATGCCACCATACCTGGCTAACTTTTTTTTTCATTTATTTATTATAGAGACGAAGTCTTGTTATGTTGCCCAGGCTGGTCTTGAACACTTGGGCTCAAGTGATCCTTCCACCTCAGCTTCCCAAAGAGCTGAGATTACAGGCGTGAGCCACCACACCCGGTGATTAGTGACTCTGCCTTCCTTTGTCCATTGCCCACACTGTCAGAAGCCTTGACTGTTAGATTCTTCATTACTCACCAGTGACGCTGTGAGCAACCTTCCTGTGTGTATCTCTTGAACTCTATTTCAGTAATTTCTTTAGAGTAGAGCCCTAGACACTGCCTGTGTGGAGGGGGACTCCCATTGCTGGAGTGGATGCAAATCGAAGCCACTATCCAGGAATGGAATGCTCTCTGAGACCATCAGCTCTGGTGTCTGGGCAGTCACCGAGCTTCTGTGTGGCCAGCAGTGAGCACAGTGTCCCAGAGAGGGCCTCTCCATGCGTTCCTCATCATGGCACACGTGGGCCCTGGACCTCTGCCTGCTTCCTTTCTGTCCCCCAGCCTCACCACCCTGCCTCCCCCTTGTCAGCACTGGGTTTTGGAAACACTGTTTACTTTAAAAGAAAACTGTAAAAGAAATCTGAATTAAAAATAAAATTTTAATATTTCAAGTAAAGGATACAGACAGACTTTGTCTCCCTGCTAGGTAAGCAATGAGTGATTTGCCACCTAGAAGTGAGCATGGCTCCATGTTCAGAGATTTGTTACCACTTAGGAGTGCAGCTGTAAGTTACTTACTCTTATTCATGTCATGGAAGGAGAGCAATGATAAAATGTGTTCTGTTGAAATGAAGCCACTTTAATTCCTCGTTTTAGATTCTTAGGAAGCGTTTTAGACTCTTAGAAAGCCAGCAGGCAGAAAGCGCTTTTGTTCACCTTCCTACCCTGCCTGCTAGTTTGTGGCCCTGACGATCTGACTATAAGTTAGATTCTCAGTTCACCTGCCTTTCTGAGTGTTCCGTTCACTTACCCTTTCTTCCTTTTCTTTCTTCATTTTGTTTAAACCTTTTAAGAGGGATCAGTTTTTGAAAGGAGATATTTTTTCAGTTTGCTAGTTTACTAATGATTAGGTATTTTATTTTATTTTTTGAGTTGGAATCTCACTCTGTTGCCCAGGCTGGAGTGCAGTGGCATGCTTTTGGCCACTACAGCCTCAACCTGCTGGGCTCAGCCGATCCTTCCACCTCAGCCTTCCAAGTAGCTGAAACTCCAGGCATGTGCCACCACACCTGGCTAAATTTTTGGTTTATTGTGCAGACAAGGTCTCAGCAAGTTGCCCAGGCTGATCTCGAACCCTTGGGCTTAGGCAATCCTCTCACCTCTGCCTCCCAAATTACTGGATTATAGGCGTGAGCCACCATGCCTGGCATGATTATGTATTTTAAATGAACTGTCTTTTCATTTTGGTTATTGAAACTGTCTTTTCATTTTGGTTATTGAAACGGTCTTTTCAAGATGGTTATTTTTAGAGTACCAGATCACCCAAGGAATACAGTTAGGGTCAGTTTTTCTTGGCGGACATAAGCTAAAAGAGGGTATAAGAATGAGTCTAATATTATGATTAGCTCTTGATCTGTGTAACATAAAAAGAAATACGTGATCCCCCAAATATTTTATTTTAGAATTCTTTCCAAATGCTTTTCAGGCATTCACCAAGTTTCCCCTTGTGTGAGAGCCCAATACCTTCTGCCTGGCCAGTCCTGTCCCAGTTTTGTAGCCAGTGATGTAGTAGGGCTGACATGTAGCAGCCATATGGCTACCTGGGCCACCATCCTGCAGGGGAGGGGAGAGGTGGTCATTGCTCTGTGTGCTTGAGGCACTTGGCCGTGTGTAAATGCCAGTATATTACTCAGGAAGATGCAAAGTACTGCTTCCTTTTTTTTCTCTTTTATTTCTTGAAATACTACTTTCAACCAATGTCGTTTTCTTTTTCTGATTTATTTACTTATTTTGTGTCAAAGTCTCACTGTGTTGCTCAAACTGGAGTGCAGTGGCACAGTCATTGCAGCCTTGAACTTCTGGGCTCAGGAAGTCCTTCCACCTCAGCCTCCTGAGTAGCTGGGATTACAGGCCTGTGCCACCACACCCAGCTAATTTAAAAAATTTTTTTTGTAGAGAAGAGGTCTTGCTATGTTGCCTAGGCGGGTCTTGAACTCCTGGGCTCAAGCGATCTTCCTGCCTCTGTCTCCCAAAGTACTTAGATTACAGGTGTGAGCCACTGCACCCGGCCTTGATCCTTTTTTTTTTTCCTAACCTGCTTTGTCTGTGGCTAGCTCTGATTGGAGGCCTCTAGTCACTGGACTAAATGGGTAATTATTTGGGAGATAATCAATAACTGACTTCCTCTGCATGGGAATAGAGAATAGTAAAGGACCCAGTGCACGCATCCAGGTTGTACCTTCTTCTGATATAGTGCCTCAAAGGGCATTCCGTGCTCTAACCAAATGGAGGTAGTTAATTTCATACCCTTCAGACTGAACTCAAGACATTTGCCCTCCCTCCAGCTTTCTTATTTGTTATTGTTGTTAATATTTTTTTAGAGATGGGGTCTTTCTCTGTCCAGGCTGGAGTGTGATCATGGCTCACCACAGCCTCCATCTCCTGGGCTCAAGCGATCCCCCCACCTCAGCCTCTGGAGTAACTGGGATTGTTATTAATTCTTGAATTTTTCTCTCTTGCTAGATAAGTAGCCTGTGGCCTTTCTGCCAGCGTATGCTTCAAAAATGTAGAATAAGCATCATTGTGAACATGAAGTGTAGGTCCAGAATGTTCCCAAGGTAGAGCAACTGCTTAATTCTACTTCTTCCCAAAGCTCTCCCTTCTCTGGCTGCAACACGCTGGGGCACTGGGGCTCCGACTCCTCGGGCCCCCAGTGGGTCTCAAAGTCCTAGATAAGAATCAGAAATTGGATCTTGGTGAACCAGAGGGACTGAGAAGAGATGAGATTTAGACTGGCCACGGTGAGTCACGTTTGTAATTTCAGTACTTTGGGAGGCTGAGGCGGGAGGATCACTTGAGCCCAGGAGTTCAAGACCAGCCTGGGCAACATAGCAAGACCTGGTCTCTAAAAAATAAAAAGTAAAAAATAAATGAGATAGAAACATCAGTAGTCTTAAAGGAGTTACATTGGTTTGGTTAGTGGGGCGGGATGGGGTCTTTTCATGGACCTAACTTTCTATTTTTCTTTTTCCTATTCCCAGTCCTGACACATGTTGGAAGATCAGAGAGAAGTGGGCTGGTGACCTGCATTCTATTCCAGCCACCAGCTGTGTGTCCCTCCACAAATCACTTAGCTTTCCAGGGCTCTGTTCTGTAGCTGTAAAATTAGGGGTTTGAATTAGGTGTGCTGCAAGGGCCCCCCTTCCCTGGCTGTGATGCTTTGTCACACAC